GGAGTCTGCTTCTCCCTCTGACCCTCCTTCCTCTCATGCTCTCTGTCTCTCATTCTCTCTCTCTCTCAAATAAATAAATAAAATCTTTAAAAAAAAAAAAAAGAAGGAATCTAATATGTAATGACGTGGGTCTTTTGGGTACAAAGAGCAGGACAGTTTCAGTATGGTGGGTAATAAGTGTGTCTTTATGGTTGTTCAATTTGCAGGGAAGATGGGCATGATATTAAAATAATCCGGAGTGGGCCATGTTGATGGAGCGGTTTATAGAAGAGAACTTGGAGAAACCACCTTCAACAGTATGCTGGATGAATTCCATTTCCCCTTTTCTCTTTCCTATGTTCCTTTGCATGGGATTTGTTAGCCCACACTTTCTGAGAGGAGGTGTGGAAGAGAGCTATGTGCAGTGACTGATAATTAAAACAAACACAAAAAAATCCTTGTTTCTTGGCTTTTGCCCCTTGAGTAAAGCTTATTACCCAGGTGCCTTGTGCGTTGCTTTATTTAGCTGGAATAAAATCAGCATTGTCTTCAAGTAGTGCTGTTCTCTGTTGAATACCCATTCTTACTCAGCAGGCTCCTGGTGGCTCTTCTCTCAGACAAAGGTGAATTTCATAATGGCGAAGTGGAGTCATTATTGAGAGAGCAAGATTTATTCTCCTTCCCCTTTCCTGCACATCTTTCATAGTTAATGTATAGGTACGTGGGACAGTGTTCTGCACAGGACACACACCCATGAGACACTTGGAGCGTGAGATTGTAACGCGAGGTGGTAAAGTCACAGAATCATGTGGGTAGAAATATTTCCTAGATTCAGTGTCTTCTTTCAATAGTTCCCCATCAGGGTTAATGCAGGTACTTGGCTTTTTCCTCCTTTTAGAGCAGGGTTCTCAACCCTGGGGCGATTCCCCCCCAGGGGACACCTGGCACTGTGTCTGGAGGCATTTCTGGTGTCACAGTTGAAGGGTGGGCACCACTGACATCTAGTGGGTAGATGCCAGAGCTGTTGCCAACATCCTACAGCACCCAGGACAGCTCCTAACAACAAAGAATTTTTCAGTCCAAAATATCAGCAGTACTGAGGTTGCAACATCCTGTTTTCGAGTTTGATACAACATAAGAATAAACGTTAGCAATGATAAAGGTGACGGGGATTACTTTAGAATGATGTTTCCAGGTGGAGGATTTTGGTCAAGTCCTGGGTGTAAGTGCTAGCTTCTAGCACCAGGAAACCATGAGCCATGAGGCAAGAGGTGGCTAAGAGAGTGTGTAGTGGAAAGAATATGGCTTCGGCATCAGCTAAACCTGAGTTCGAATTCTGATTCCAACACTTGTGCTTTGGTTTTCATATATGGAAAACGGGGTAATGCTCAACTCAGGGAGCTGTTGAGAGGAAGCTATTTAGCACAGTGCTTGGACATAGAAACCAGTGAAATAGTAGCTGCTGTTATTTCCAGTATCCTTCTTAGAGAGAAAGAAACTGAGGCCCACAGAGGCAAACCACCTTGCCCAAGGTTATAGAACACAGTGAAAATCTGGACTAGAAGCCTGGGTCTCCAAATGCCCAGTCCTCTGTTTCTTAAATGGAACAGAAGCAACAAAGCGGGAAGTTGTATAACATACGTGGGCTACAATTCATGTTCTGTAGTTATTTTTGGCTTAAAATTTTCATTTTATAAAAGTAGTATATCCTCTTTGGAAAATTAAGAAATGCACAAGTATATTTAAAAAGTGAAAGTCATGCCCATACAAGCCTCCAGAGGTAACCAGTATTAACCTTTTGGAACATTGTGTCCTTTTCACTCTCCCTAAGTATGTGTGTGTATATCAAACCATATAGACACACAGAAACACAGGCACACACACACGTATACACACATACTCCTGTCCTATAAACTCGCTTTTCTCCTTATATTAGAGATTTTATTTATTTATTTGACAGAGAGAGACACAGTGAGAGAGGGAACACAAGCAGGGGGAGTGGGGGAGGAAGAAGAAGCAGGCTTCCCGTGGAGCAGGGAGCCTGATGCGGGGATTTTTTAAACGTTAATATAGATTGTTCTTTTCAAAAGCTACATAGTATTTTATTATTGTGCCATAAGTTTTCCAGCCTCTATTGATCTATATTCAGATTGTTTATTAGGATTCTCTTGGTTGAAGCTGGAAGAATCCCAACTCAAACAGCCTTAGGCTAAAGAGGGAGTTAATTGGCCCATGTAGTCGTATTTGCAGAAGAGCAGGGTAGTGTTAGCGTCAGAGGCTAGATTTAGTATTTACTTGCCTCAGAGGCAACTGGGGACTCTAATGCATCAGGAGTCCCCATGTCCTCATGTCTCATTTCTGGGTTTTTTGTTTTGTTTTATTTTCTTTTTTGTAATTTTTAAAAAAGATTTATTATTTGAGAGAGAGAGAGAGACAGAGCTTAAGCGGGGTGGAGGGGCAGAGGGAGAGGGAGAAACAGACTCCCTGCTGAGCAGGGAGCCCGATATGGGACTCGATCCCAGGACCCTGGGACCATGACCTGAGCCCAAGGCAGACCCTCAACCGACTGAGCCGCCCAGGCGCCCCTCATCTCTGTTTATTTTGGCATAAACAGCTTCATTCTCAGGCTGGCTTCACCTCATGTGTAAGAGACAAAATTGGAAGTTCCAGATTCTATCTTGGCAGCTTCCTGACCTGACAGGAAATAATGCTTTTCTACCAGCTCCAGGTGAAAAAAATCTTCTAGAGTCACAGCCCCAACACTAGTACTACCTGAAAAAATGTCCTGGACAAAGACCCTGATTGGTTCATGTTAGATTACACATCCACGCTTCAGGCCGGTTGTTGTGGTCACAGGAAGTACGGTGGTGTAGGATTGGTTCAGCTGACATGGGACATTGGGTGCATTGTGTCCGGAGGGAGGAAAGGGGACAATCCAAGAGGAAAAAAAATCAACAGATGTTAACTATAGGTTGTTTACAACTTCTAATGATTATAAAACTGTTTCAGAGAACGTTATTGTACGCACTCCTTGTCACTTGAAAAAAATATATATTTACACATACACAAGGTGAAAATAGCTCTAAAATTTTTTTCTGAGAGAAATTTATGCTTGTGTAGTACACATTAATCATTTGGTGTACCCAGCACCTCTGCCTTCTGCCCTAAAGAAACATTGCTTCTGTCTTCCCCTCTCCTTTTCCACCCCACTCCCAACTTCTGGCTGAATAGAGCTGCCGACTCTGGAGGTAAGCTGAAGTCATAATTCTCACTACCCTGCTCACAGGGTTGGTCTGCAGTGGGTTTGTGACCATTCAGAGTCCATCCTCGGAAGAAGAGCCTGTTTCCTTCTCGGTGGTGAGATTGAGAGGCTGTGCCTGGGGAAGCTGCAGGAAGTCGTGACCCCTCACCATGGAGAAAGACTATAGTAGGAGGGCATGAGGCCGACATGCCTAGGGAAGCGGAGACAAAAGACCCAGAGGCTCTTGGTGAAAGTCGATATTCTGGTTCTAGGGCTGAGGCCTCCTGTTGCCCACCTTGCCATGGCTTAGGCTTAGTTGGACAGCTTTTCCTTGGATTTTGTGAGCTGGCCCACTGTCCGTTCAATATTCCCTCCCTACACACTTTTTTTTTTTTTTGCTTATAGCAGTTTGAGTTGGGTTGTTATCACATAAATTCTTCTAATAAATTCAAGCAATTTGGAAGCATGTAAAGTAAAAGGGTCTCTCTGTTTTAGTCTCATTCTTCTCTTGTCCACTCCCTACTACAATGAAAGGGAAGGCTTTTATAGTCAGAAAGAATTAATAATAATGATATTTCAAAAGAGATTCACAAGTGTAAATATGTATTATAAGAATTTTGCTTTAGTATTGTTTTTATGACATTTAACTGTTAATACTTCCAACCTTTTTTGTATAAACTTTTGTCTATTATCTTAAAACATATATATACTTACATATATCTTCTATAAACTTGCTTTTCTATCTTATATTAGGTTTATTTTAATATTAATATATGTAGTTTCTTCTGTTTATTTCTTTTTATTATTTTTTTAAGATTTTATTTATTGAGAGAGCAAGAGAGTGAGCACGAGTGGCGGGGAGGGAGGAGAGGGAGAAGCAGACTCCCTGCTGAGCAGGGAGCCTGATGCGGGGCTTGATCCCAGGACCCTGAGACCCAAGATCATGACCCGAGCTGAAGGCAGATGCTCAACCAACTGAGCCACCCAGGTGCCCTGTAGTTTCTTTTTTTTAAAAGCTACCTTATATTATTGTGCTATTATTTATCTAGTCTCTACTGAGCTATATTTGGATTGTTTATTAGGATTTTCTTGGTTGAAAGTGGAAAAACCCCAACTTAAATAAGTCTAATTAAAGGGAGAAGTGATTCCTGGATATAGCAGTGACTAAGCACATGAGTTCAAAGTCACATGTCTGTATTCATTGAGCAAGTTATGATTTAACTCTGTTTCCTCATCTGTAAAGTGAGGATGATAACAATACCTATTTCACAATGTGGTTGTAACTGTTTATGTAAGGTGCTATTGGCTATTTTATAGAAAACTATACTTTTAAAAAAAACCAGCCTGGGGACGCCTGGGTGGCTCAGTTGGTTAAGCGTCTGCCTTCGGCTCAGGTCATGATCTTGGGGTCCTGGGATCGAGCCCCGCATCGGGCTCCCTGCTTGGCAGGGAGCCTGCTTCTCCCTCTGCCCCTCCCCCTGCTCGTGCTCTCTCTGTCAAATAAATAAATAAAATAAAATAAACCCCAGCCAACCAGCCTGCTTTTTTGACTTATCCCTGGCCCTATAATGATATATCATGTATATTTTCCCAAGTCATTACATATAGATCTACTTCATTTAAGAAAGACCTGCATTGTATTCTATTATATGGGCATACCAGAATTTATTTATGCAATCCCCTAGTGATGGACATTGAGGTTGCCATTTCCCACCATCACAAATAATGTTGCAGTACCATCTTGGTCCATGTATCCTTCTTTATTTGTGCAAACAATCTTTTTTTTTTAAGATTTTTTTTTATTCATTTGAGAGAGAGAGAGAGACAGAGAGAGCACAAGCAGGGGTAGAGGCAGTGGGAGAGGGCTGAGCAGGGAGCCCGACGCGGGGCTCGATCCCAGGACCCCGAGGTCATGACCTGAGCCGAAGGCAGACACTTAACCATCTGAGCCACCCACGCGCCCCTGTGCAAGCAGTCTTTAGGATAAACTTATAAGACTGGAATTACTTGGTTAGAAGACAGACAGATTTAAAATGTTGAAAGAGGGATGCCTGTCTGGCTCAGTTGGTAGAGCATGCGACTCTAGATCTTGGTGTTGTGAGTTCAAGCTCCATGTTGGGTGTGGAGCCTACTTAAAAAAAATGTTGAAAGAGACTGCAAAATTTCTTTCTGACAAGGTTGTACTTATTTATGTGCTTTTTGTGGTAAAGGGAGTGCCTGGTCTTTTTTCACTGCCATCGTTGTGTAATAGAAGCAGTGCTGCCCCAAATATGTTCAGAGTTGTATTACAAATTCAGATTTGTATCCACCCT